TACTCAAAAGGTTTTAAACGTTCTTTTCCTCCTCCTTTAGACATTGTTATCTTACCATTGTTTTGGTAAGAAACCCTATCGTTCGATGTGAAGCGACGGGCACAAGACGTTTGTATAGTCATAGAGGGCAACTTATGGAACGTTTTAGCAATGTCGTTTTAGGGACTAGATCGTTTACCGAAGGCAACATTGAGGGTTATCGAGGGACTACGATCTTTTATCGAGGGTCTTTGCTAAAACGCCCATATTCGAGGGACATGACTATTTTCCGACAGGCAACAAAATGGGATCACCCTAAGGGTGCAAGTGTGCAAGTGTGTTTGATTTACATGCATTTAGTCTTGATTAGGGTTATCTATTTGTTGATTTCATGTCTTGCCATACACACCCTAATTACTAACAATATATGAAAAAAATAAAAGTGCGGAAAAGTAAAGTCCTACACTATTAAATCATTAAGGGGATGGGGTGTACAAATTTACAAATGGGGATTGCGAGAAATTAAAGTCCTAGTTATCTATTATAAATATATTGGAATAATGTACAAGAAATGTAAAATGGACTTGTTTTGTTTTAAAAAAGAAGAAGTAAGTTTGCTTAAGAAAATATTTTTGATCTTTTGGTTTTAAAAGAGATAAAACAAAGTATGTGATTATAAAAATATTGCTGGTGTTTTGATTATTAAAGTTAAAATAAAATAATAAGAGGAAAAGGGGTCAGAATCAGCGCGTGGCTGAAAGGGACAGAAATAAAAGGCAGAAACTCTGACTCTGATGCGCTGCCAAAATCAGAAATAACATGTTAGCAGAAATGGGGAAGGTCAGAAGTTCTGAGTCTGGGTACACCGAAGTTCTGAGATTGCTGGGAATGAAGGAAAGCCTAGAAGTTTTGATTGCTGAAGGAGTTTGGAAGCTCTAGTACAACTGGGGACCTAGAAGTTATAATATCACTGGCAAGTCAGAAGTTCTGGTTGTTTGAGAGAGTGAGGTGATAATGTTGTTGGGTGAGGATATCTAGAAGTTCTGATCTAGGAATATTGTCTAACAGATAAATGGGTAAAAATGTCAATAAATGAACCTAAAAAAGCTGCTTCTGGGGCTAGAACCCAAGACCCTTAGTACTTATGTCTTATGCGCACGCTTTCTACCATTGGGGTGACTGTACATCCGATATTATAAGCAAAAACATAAACATATATCATAAAGTAAACTTATATGATGAACTCCATCTCTTTCTCCATGCTAATCAGAATGATCTGCAACTTAGTTGTTTCTCAACAGAATAGAAAACACAAACATAACAATTATGGAAGGCTTCCATCATGGTTTCAGAAAGATAAAAAATATAAAGATTGTAAATCAGAAACAAGAATGTTATCTGCTAATCCTAATTTCCTTAAAAAGTTCTGAACTGATATTCTCCCTATTTAGGCAGAAAGAAAAAGCATGAAACCTCAGAATATGTACAACACCAGAATCAAGATGTCTATATTATATTTTGGACATGCAAAGTTAACAATGCCTAAGTGATATGATGAGAGTCAACAGAAACTTACCTTGTAGTTGGAAAATGTCCTGTGAGCTAGAACTTGATTCTGACTACAGCGTTATTCTAATCAGCTTCCTTACGTGCTCAGCTAGTTGGGACAACCATTAACTTGAGCTATGAATGGCTGAAAAATTCTGGAACAGCCAAGAAGCAAAGTTCTGATTTTAAAATGGAAATTGGTGGCGTTGGAAGTGCAATATGAAAACAGAAGTTGGGATGACTTCTAATGTGTATCAGAAACTATATGGATGACTTGGTCAAGAAACACTTGAGGAAAAATGGAGTTTGAATGCAAAAATCAAGGATTAGCAGGTTTTGTTTTTGTGTTTGCAGCTTTAAGTTCTTGGGAGATTTTAACAAGGTTTCAAGGCTCTTCTTTTCAATTTTTTCGACCTCCTTACAGTTGCAAATGGATTTTAATTTATAGGCAAAGATTTAGTAGCTTGGAGAGGTCAAGGGTACAACCATCATGCTAGGGCGCTGACTTGTTCTTGAAGCAAGTTAAACAAGTATCGTGGTTAGTAGCTTTTAGTCGTGCCTAAGCTGGAATTGTAAGCATGGATTAAGGAAAAGTACCCTCAGAGGAAAAAGAAAAGCACGGACCCAGCATAAACTTGTACAAAAGTTTGCTTTTCAAGGACAACAATGGTACTTCTATCTCACACGTGGGGAAATCCTTTGGATAAGAACTCAAAAGTGGTTGTGAGCATTAAATGATGATGAGATTTATCAAACTAGAAATCCTGCAATATGAGATTATGCATCATAGCTTAATTCTGGGTCAGAAATTCAGCATCAACGTAACTTAGAATAAATATCCAACTTTTGATCTTTGAATCTCTTTGCTCCAGCATGTTCTGAGTGAGTTCTCAGACTTTCCAGAAAGCTTAAAACAAGCTTTGTAAACCCTCTTTAAGTTACTCTTGCAAATTCTGACTGAACCTATGTGAAAGCTGACCCAAAAATTGTAACCAAGTTCTGATTTTGAAAATGCTCAGAATTTACTAAGTGTTTAAGTTCCAGGGACGTGTCTTTGAAGATGTATAACTTGAAATATCAGCATTTCTAGAAGAAGTTATGTTCTACAATATTTTAGATCTCATTGAGATCCACAACTCTTGTGTTAAAAGTTCTTCCAAAATCAACTTGCATCCTGATGAAGATCTGGCCAGAAGTTCTGAATTCATCATATTTCTTAAACACTTAGAAAAATTTCTAAGTATTTAGAATTTTGACTTTTCCAACATAATCTTGACTTTGATTTTATTGATGAAACAAGTTTCATATTTTAACATGTCTTGATGAAATATGATTTTTGAAACTTGATTTTGATCAAAAAGTCAGAGTTTGACTTTTCAGTGTGCTTTTGACCATTTAGCTTCATAATGTTGTATGCTAGTGTTAACTTAATTTAGAATTAATATCAAAACAAAAAACCAGAGAAACCAATTGAAACCGTAATCAACATAAAACCGTGAAGCTTACCGTAAAAATCTACAAACCATAAGCAGTATGAACCGAAGAAGTTCTGAACCAAAACCAAAACACAACGGAATCGGATGCAGTGATATTACAATTCGCGTTTAGATTTGCGAAGAAGTTGTCCGACTGCAAAATCGCATTTGAGAATAAGCACTTTCGCATTGGTGGCCTTCTGAGAGAATCACGTTTGGAAAAAAAAGATCGCTTGAATCTATAAAAAGCGCGTTTGGAGAATCACGTACGGTCACTTAATAATAATAATAATAATAATAATAATAAAATAATAATAATAATAATAATAATAATAATAATAATAATAATAATAATAATAATAATAATAATAATAATAATAATAATAATAATAATAATAACAATAATAATAATAATAATAATAATAATAACAATAATAACAATAATAATAACAATAATAATAATAATAATAATA